TCATAATATAGGATTTGAGGACCTAAAGGTATCCCCGAAATATAGGACTTGAGGACTATGGGTATCCCGATTATATAGGACTTAAGGACCTATGCGTATCCCTAAACAACCGATGACTTAATGAACATAGATTAATTAAATATATACCCAGTCAGACTGGTACCTATTTATCTGGTACTGGTGCGTACCTATTATGAAGGTAGACAAGAATTTTACGAGATTCTCTGTGACTCCACATGACTCCACTCTGACTCTACTTGACTCCACTCTGACTCCACTTGACTCCCCTTGACTCCATTTGACTCCGCTTGACTCCGCTTGACTTCACTTGACTCCGCTTGACTCCACTTGACTCCACTTGACTTCACTTGACTCCAAGGGACTCGGGTCTGCTGTTTCCCCCTTGTCGAGGATGCTCTGTCTATTGATGGGTGTATGTGTAGGTCTCGGTCGTTTCTCTTCCGATGAAATAGAATCTCGCAATCTGACTGGTCCAAAAATCAACCAATCAGCTTTGAGGAAGGTTTTTCTTTCTTATTGCTCCCACAACAAGTAGTCATCTCGAGCCAACCCTGGAGTTATCGTCGATGCTCTAGCGGGTGCCAGTATATGTATGAGCCTTTGTGCTCTTGATCACCGATAGAATATCTGGATGGGATTGGTGGCTTATTGATGAAGCAGATTTATGCTTGTTTGTTTTTTGATTCTCTTCTGCAATCATCGACGTGGCAGGATCCAAGAACGCCAGAGTACACTTTGTGCTCATTGTTGATGACATAATGGTGTTTTCGTAACAGTGGTTGACGATCTAAGGCTATCTTGTTATGATGGAAGTTGAAAAACCAAGGCTACCCTATAGAACTCCACTTTCGGACCTATGGGTACCACTGTATTATTGAGTGCTAGGTCCTATCGAAACCTCTACAAAATACAGGCTCACGACCTCTGAGTATCCCTCTATAATAGAACTTGATGACCTCGAAGTACCCCTGCATAATAGGATTGAGGACCTCGAGGTGCCCATCTATAATAGTAGTTGAGGACCTCGAGATACTCCTCTATAATAGGACTTGAAGACCTCGAAGTACCCATCGATAATAGCAGTTTAGGACCTCGAGATATCCCGCTACAATAGCACATGAGGACTTCGAGATATCTCTCTATAATTGGATGTAAGGACCTCGAAGTACCCATCTACAATAGGGCTTGAAGACCTTGAAGTACCCCTCTATAATAGCAGTTGAGGACCTCGGGGTAGCCCTCTATAATAGGACTTTAGGGCCCGTGGTACCCTATAGGGGAGCCCTTGAGGACCTATGGGTACCCCTGTAAGGAACCCTTAGGGATCTATGGTACCGCTATTGGGAAGCCCTTGAAGACCTAGGAGTCCCCTACAAATAGTTCGGTTCGTTCCAATGAGTTTGAGTTGATCTTGTCGCCCTATAGTCGTATTTTATTGCAATATTTTCTCTATGTGAAGTGAGCCACATTTTTTTGGCTAGCATGTTTGGATCACTTCACATGACCATGACTTTGTCGTTGGCAGCAAAAAGTGCATCACAACATGTTTGCTTGCGTCAAATAAAAATGCATTTTGTTCTGTCAGAGAAAAATTCAAGAATATCAGCGATACATTGCAATGGGGAGAAAAAGAATTTGTTGTATAAGATACCTTATCAGCAACATAAAAGTCAGGCACTAAAACAGTGAAAAGGCAAATAATGCATCTCTCTCGTTCTCTTTTGTCAAAACTATTTCATTCTCGAACACGCTTCGGGATACTTTGTTGGAGAAAACCGATAAGATGAAAGCATCCTATATAATGTGACTCAACGATAAAATAATACAATATAATGCAATTCATTCGTCATGATAAGAATTGCGTGAGCTCTGCCAAAGTAAGAGATAGATCGATTATTAAACAGCTTTTGGCACACACCTAACCTGTTTCATATTCCCTTCTCAAAAAGGATGATGTTTCTCGTTCCATCGATCACGTTTTTAAAATTAAGTCGAAATAATTTGTATATATCAAACAAACGGTGTTCGTCTTCTACTCAAATATTAGCGGCAAATCAGATTTTGAGTGGCGATCTCACGTCCTGATTGAGCTAAACGATAGATTTCTCGAGTTATATGTCGGTCTTAGAAACTATGAACAGAGGCATTTTGATTTTCGAGATAATCAACAATGGTAAAAGTATTTGTGGGAAAGCATAGCATTCTCGATTAGGGAAAGTGCTGGGTATCTTCGAAAATACTGCGCGGATTGGACTTTTCGAACCTGAATCCAACCAGACACCTGACAATTAGTTAAAGCTGAGCATTTTTTGACCGAAAAAGTAAAAAAATGCTTGATGAATTCTTGTTGGCTGTTTCTTCTAAAAGAGTACTTGAAAAATGATCAATTCAAGTATCGCATACTTTATTTAAAAAAGAGAAAAACATCTTTGAAGAAAATTTCAAGCCCGAATCTGACCTTGGGCTGGGACTTGAGTGCCTTCTCCACCCAAGAACACTTTTTGACTTCCTGACAAATTTTCTCTCTTTCTACCTCTGAAAATAATTGGCAAGTCTGAGAAGACATCTAATGTATTTTTGTTTCTTTTCATTTAGTATACACTATAGCACAAATATTTTTATTTTAATAAATATTGTTCGACTTTTGAACAAATTACATTGTATTAAACGACCTCAACATTGTCTGCTAAAATTCTGTTAACGAAAAATGAATGGCGTCATTGAAATTGATCGATCAGAATTATCTTTCAATGCAGCAATGTCACCGAATTATATGGACAATGAACGTTATTTTGATCATTTCATTATTGTCATATATACGAAAAATATTCGTGAAACAGAAATATTCTTTGATAATATCCAAGATAAAATTCTATTTGATAAAATTAATGATTATAAAAAATATAAATGTTCAATTCGATATGAAAAGTTGTATATAATCTTATATGATATAGAAGATGAGAATGATCTTCGGTTTTGGTCTGATGAATTTTTACATGAAAAAGGAATTTCAGTTGCATCCTTATACTATTTCAAATCGTATGCCAACAGTAGAAGAACAAATCTATTAAATTATCAAGAAGTATATTATACTTATCGACGAATTCCTCCTTGTTTAGTATTTGAGTTTTTACTCGACACCATATTGGGTCTACCAACCTCTTTTTTCAATAATTTTATTCGTTTGGAAATCAATAATTTTATTTTATCACAAATCAAAAATGATGATGATAGTGTTATTATATGCTATGAATCATATATAGGTAAAGACCGACAAAAAGGTTTGCAACTAATTCAGTTATTAAGTGAAGTTGATGATAACAATATCCGCTCACGTTTCAAAAATTGGAGGTTTTTTGATGAATATAATAAATATTATACATATTTGAAATCAACGCATGCAAAAAATATTACATTACTAATATTAACTGAAACTTGTCTGACTAATCGACTGTTCTTACAACTAATTGAACATCCTCATATATATTTGAGATCACAACTGAAACATATTCATATATTACATCTGGATATGTCATATTCGCCAACATTGAACGATATTGAACGAATAAAACATTTTTTTTTTCGCCAAGATTTTGGAAAAATACCTCGAGATAGACCAGAATGGTCATCATCGAGTGATACTCGAGTAATACATTATTTTCTTGATAAACATATTTTATATTCAAAATTAAAAGAAAATATTACTGAAACAACATATAATGCGTATTGGAATAATGAAAATGACTCACAAATATCACTAAGAAATACAAACAGAATTCAATTTCAAATGTTAACACATGTTTTAAGTCAAATGAAACAAACACATGAATCAAAAATAGAGATGTTGGAAGAATGTCGTTCACGTTACGATGGCCAACAAACCAAGAATGAAGTTCAACTGAAAAACATTGATAAATTTGAACGTGAATATACACCTGATCAAGCTATTCATTGGTATACAAGTGATTGTTTCTTATATCGCATTGTCAATTATATGTGTCGAACAGAAGATATTGATTTACTATATTCACTAAGATATTATATGATTGATCTTCTTCAACAACTAAAACAATTGCATTTGACATCACCTGTTGTCACACCAGTGATAGTCTATCGAGGTCAGTTAATGAACATAAATGAATTACAAAAGTATCACGTTGATGAATACTATTGTACAAATACATTTATGTCAACAACACAATCGCAAGATGTTGCTTTGATGTTTGCTGGTGATGAAAATAGTGATAAAGAACGAGTTCTGTTTTGTATCAAAATTGATACACATGAAAATATGGTACCATTTGCAATGATAAAAGATTTCACTACATTTTCGAGTGAAGATGAAATTTTACTATCTATCGGTTTTACATTTCGAATTTGTTCTGTTCAAAAATCGTCTACCGATAATATTTGGATTATAGAGATGGTAGCCGTTGCTGACACAAGTGGTATGACAGTTGAAATGAAAAATAAAATCGATCAATTTCATATTAATATTCAATCTACTCCAGCATTGTTGATGTTAGGCGACTTGTTATTAGAAATGAATGAAGATCAGAAAGCAGAACGGTATTATCGAATGTTTGTTGACACAGAATCAAAGGATGTAATGCAACTAGTCACCGCATATCAAGGTATTGGTTGTGCTTGTCTAAGACAATGTCAGTATGCGACTGCATTAGAAAATTATGAATTAGCGTTGAAAATTTCTTGTCAAAATTTAGATAATAATATTAATCTATCATCGATTATAACTATTTATAAAAATATTGCCCAAGTTCATCTATCTATGACCAATTACAAATCTGCTTTGAATTACTATGAAGCATGTCTGATCTTCATGAAACAATCACCACATATACCCAATAAACACCAGTTAGAATGTGAATTGTATCATTTGATAGCTAATGTACATATTAAGCAAGAAAAATATTCTGTAGCAATTCATTATTATCAAAAATCACTTGACAACCAAATGATGTATAGTACATCGATAAACTCACTTCTGTCACATACATATTATTTACTTGGACATGCACATGAATTAAATGGTAATTACTGTCTAGCTGAAAAATATTATAAAAAAGCTTATAAGATTGAATCGAATGAAATTTATCATGAAAATATAATCAAAATTCGAAAGAGGAAACAAAATTGGTTAATAGGCATTGCATTAATTTGTGTTCTTGTGTTTCTTTGTATAATTTCTTGTGGAATTTTCGTTGTTTTTTCTTATTATGAAGATTATATTCGCTCTGTGATGTTTCATTATTTAATTAAACATACGGTCTTACTATATGTAATAGGTGCTGGAATGTTGTCTCTTTTACTATACATGTTTATTGTCTCTTTTGACTTTAGTTCATGGAATAATTTTCCTCTATCGGTGACAAAGGCGATCATTGGTGATTTAACATTGGAATTATATTTTAAACATTGTAAACGAAATTGTATACCAACATTGATCTGCATTACTATATATATATTTACACCTGAAACTTGGTCAAAAATTATTGGTATTGGTTTGACATTATATCAGCATATATTTTTCAGTTATGGAAATTATTATGTATTTGCTTTTTTCATTGGTATACCATTATTTGGATCGAACAGAAATCTATTAGGGTTGTTCTATAACATTACAATACAGGCTTACCTAGCGATGGTGCGTGATAAGAAGCCAAATCCACCATTGTAACAGAAAATACTTCTAATCGATGAATATAAGTCTTGAGAGGAGAAATGCTGTAAAACGTTCGGACAGCTGCGAAACGTAATGGTTTATTTAATAATAATAAGAATAACAAGTAACAATAAATGTATTGAGTATACACAGCAAAAATACGCACTAGAGGGGTGTGGGCGGGTGTGGGCGTAGGGTGTGGGTGTGTATGGGTGTGGGTGGGGTGGAGTGCGGGTGTGGGTGTGTGGGTGTGGGTGTGGGTGTGTGGGTGTGGGTGTGGGTGTGAGTGTGAATATCTTCTCGTAACACACACCCACACCGTTTTAGCACATATAGATATTTGAGATTTCTATCTATAGTAAAAATTCTAGACCTCTACCGCATCTCTATCAAAAGTTATGAGAGACTAAACTGACCAAAAAAGCTCCTTTTTCTGTATTTCTGATCGCTTATAAAAATCGAATAGTCCCATATTTCGGGACAAAAAATTTATCACAAGTAGGACTCACTGAATTGTGTCTGTCTGTACACAAAGTTTGAGTTCAATCCGTAGAGCCATTATTGAGATATGGTCGCATTTAGACCCCCTTGATGACAATGGCAATTTTTAAGGTCTTTCATAAATTCTTCATAAAATACGAACGGCTCAATATTTTTTCAAAAACCTTTCACAGAAATTCTTAGAATTCTTGCCTCTATGATATATCAAAAAATGAGCCAGATCTGACAACCTCGATTGAGCAGCCTCTCTATAAATCGATTGTGGCTTACGTGGAAGGACTCATATGTCGATTCCACCCTGTATGGTATTTGATAGTAACAGGTCGGCCGCTAATAACTCTGCAATAAAAATACCATTGAATCTATTCTACGTGATTGGTGTTCAAAAATGAATTCTCCTTTGATGTAATCTCTGAAAAGCGAGCATAAAATATATCAATTTATGGAAACAATGTCAGTATCTTTTCATTGTGAAATAATTCGAATCAGAAGGAATAAAATATTTATGAGAATTCCATAATCTTACAGAACAAGTACCAGTTTATTTTTTTATTCTTAGTTAATATTACACTTTCATTGTAAAATCTCAAGAGTATGAGAGGACACGATTTTCTTGCGTGTATACAACTATGCCTGCAGCAAATTGTAGTCGAGTCTTTTTAAGCAGTGTATCTGCAAAACTTTCAATAATCATATTCAGGTTTGTAGTTTATTTCTGATGTGAACATTAAAAGTTAATTGAATTATTATGCATGATATCGATTGTCCTGTTGGGATATTTGTTGACTGACTGCGTAGGAAATATCATTGTAGCGAATCCATAATTCTTGAAGTGTCTACATGTGAAAAGTTTAGAGGCTATTGAGAAAACAGAGTACTGAATCATCTATACTTTGTTCTTCTTCAAGGCCTTTGCCAAATAAAGTGCACCCTGATCTGTTATATTGTTATTTCCAAGATCGAGAATGCTAAGTATCTATGATTGAAAACACAGAAACAATCGTGAAAAATAGAGTTACGTAAAATATGATGTTTACTGTATTCTGTTCAAGAGCTTTGGCAAGGAACAGTGTTCCTGAGTCTTGGATAAGATTGCTTAATAGATAAAGTTCTCTCAATGCCTGTATGAAACGAACGAATATAAAGTAACTTTTTTCATAAGAAATAATATTTACTTTGTTTTCTTTGATAGCCATAGAAAGAGATTTGGCTCCATCAGCATCGATTAAACCAACTCGAAGATCCAGCGAAGTAAGTGTCTACACAAGAATTTAAAAATAAAATGTTAAACATATTCGTATGCGATGATTTTTACTCTGTTTTTTCTAAGAGCTTTTGCTAAATGCGATGCTCCTTGATTTGTAATGTTGTTATTTCCAAGATCAAGTGCAGTCAGTGTCTATAACAAAAAATATAGGTATTTGACACTAGCAACAGTGAACAAAGAATGATTCTTACTGTATTTTTCTCGAGAGCAATGGAAAGATATTCTATGCCTTCGTCACCGACGTCATTATTTTGAAGAGTTAGTTTAGTCAGTGTCTAGTCATGGGAGTATAGATTACAATGACAGATTTCAATGTATCATGAGATTTACATAATTTCTTTCGAGTGCATAGGCAAGATGTTGTACTCCTTCATTTTGAATATTGTTTTCAATAAGCATTAATGTGGTCATTGTCTATACAAGTATGTTGAAAAACTTAATCCATCAGAACAATAGAAAATCGCTTTTACTGTATTATTTTGAAGTGCATTAGCCAAATACTTGATTCCTTCTAATTTAATTTCAATAAGACTAACATGAAGACTTGAAATGGTCTAAGAACAATAAAACATTTGTGGCTAATTAAGAAATAAATAGAAGATCACTTTTACCATATTACTCCGAAGAGCTTCGGCAAGATGTTGGAATATTTGAGTTTCCATTTTATGATTGACTCGTCTAGGTCTCATGGAGTTACGTCGCCAATATTCAGATGTTGACAGATCAGTAGAGCAAGGTGGTATCATTTCTGACTCAGTTTCAGAATCATTGCTAACAGAATCTGAGTATTTATCTTGCTCTGCATCGTCCAATCCATCATTAGAAAGTATTAATGTTGTCAATGTCTGTAAAAAATCAAGACAAAAACAAACGCTATCATCAGTAATATATAGGAAAGAAAATAGAAAATGTTGAAGAATCATGGTAAACTCAGAGCAATCCATTTTGTACATACATCGTCCAAACCATTGTGAATAGCTTGATCTATTGGTCGTCGAGTTAAACGACAAGTATTGTCTATAGACGACACTTCACATCTCATTGAATTTTCAAGGTTTTTGGCACTGATGGGTATTGTATGTAGCCAGAGTGTATTCTTTTCGAGCAAATACGAACAAGCTGTAAACCAATATTTTTCATGAATCCAATAAGGTGTTTGAAATGAATTAATGAATGACTGAATACTAATAAACTGGTTCATTTTCTCACACTTCATCAAGAAGAAGAATTCGAATTTAATTAGATTCGGTAGTTTCATTTGTATCAAGCATTTCCAGTAGGAACCATCATAAAACAAGTCAACTTCATCTCTATAAGAGATGAGTTTGAGATGTTGAAGTGAAGGTATTGGAGAGAGTAAGATTTCGAATACTTCTGTATCAATTGAATGAGCTATAATCGTTAAAGAACTTAATGAACTAGTGAAAGTGCCCTTAGGAGGTGTTGATGTTGTACTATCATTTTCGTTCATAGTGAATTTTCGGATGACAAGTGTTTTTAAAGTAGGTAAATGTTGAAGAATGTGAAGATAATGACTGTACATACAATCAGCAATGATCAGATGCTCCAATTTGTACTGAACTGGCCAACAAATATCGTTTATATTATACTTCAAATTTTTGAAATATAACTTGCGAATATTACATCGTTGAAGAATCGATGAAATGAGAGTCCATGTTCTCTTGTGATCATTTTCTCGCGATTTGATCGAAAGTTCAGTTAAAGAACTGTTTTTCAAATTTTGCAAGAAGTGTTCCAAGTCAAAATCGCGAACTTGAACGAGATTTAATGAACGCAATTGTATAAATGATCGAATATCGAACAATGATATGAACAAGCCAATACTATCGTATTGTTTACAATCTTGATAAATTGTCAATGAAACGATTCTTTCAGGACGAATTATACTAGCAATCTGCTTAATAGTATTTCGCTGCAAAAAACCCAGAGACCATTCAAATCGATCATATGTATTGATTGCAAGATAAAATAGTTTAGAAACGCGACGAATCGAAAGGATCAGTGTCTTAGTATCGCAGTAGTCAAAGATATGATGAATAAGCTTAGAATGAAGTGCAGTAAAATACGTATTTTCTGTCAAACAATTTTCCATAGTTGTCAGCATTAATGGTTTAACCCTATAAAAAGTTGACTTTACGATGTTAAGTAACATATTTTTGAGATTCTCAATCGTGAATAGAAGTTGTAAGTACAATTATTAGCATCTTGGCTACTTTTTAAATTTAAAACTTCACGTTATTTTTATCAAATGTTGAAAGAATAGATTTTTGCCTGCTTGTCATTTATTTACAAGTAGACAGTCATGTACGCTGATAATAGAATGAGAACAAAGAACGGGAATGTGTGCTGCACTACTCTAACAATGTAACTTCTATCATTGAATAAGCTATGTCAAGGAAAATAAATTAAGAGCAACAAGTAGTTTTAATTCTGTTGATAGAAATGACAAGCTTACATGAAACACTGACAATATTATTTTCTTTTACAAAACATACTTACTGAAACAGCTAGTCACTGTCGAAATCACACTTCGTTGCAGTTTTTTTTTCTTTTAGTTGAAAAAAATGCTATACGTCGCGCAATCTTCTGATAATTTTACATGCACACTGAAAGATAAACTATAAGGCAGGTCAGGTGAGTAAGATGATGATCAAAAGAAAAATATACCTGGATGGGCAGAAGCAAGATAATAGGAAAACAAACATTTTAAAATTGTTGTTCCCTTGGTTGTCGGGAGGTTCGTATGAGATAATATGAGTTTGTGTGTGTCCGTGCATTTGTGTCATGGTTAGAGGTCAAAAGTCAAAAAAAAATATTTTTCTTATAACGATTGACGAAAGTATATCTTGGGTGTGGGGTGTGGGTGTGAAAAGAATCGAAACTCACACACACACTACCCCACACCTACACCTCATCCTATTGTCATAGCTGCCGTAATAGCAGCCGTTCGCATGAAATTTAAGCATGACTATTATGCATTTCAAAGGGTCTATAAACACTTACTAGTTTTTCATCATAATTGACTCTTTCACAACCGTTTACGATGGAATATAATTAATCCAAGAGAATGATCCTTTTTCTTCTGAAGAATTTCATAAACACCTTCAGTCTAGTTCCAATTATTATTTGTTTGCAACTCCATATTTAGAATTTTTAATAATTTTTCAAGTATAATGATGAGAAAATTTTAAATATTGTGTGGCTTCTTCTATAATCAGTATTTTACTTCGAGCTTTTTCTCTTTTTTTTGTTGACGATAAATAGACAATAATGACTCATACGATGACATACACATAACAATATCAATATTCAAATTTTCAATTTCGTCTGTCAATCAGATGAACAATCTAAAAGACAATGACGAACATTCCATTGTATTTGAACCAAAATCAAATCTAGTAAATAATTCGAAAAACAATAATTTTCCTACAATATCTAAAGTGTACAAGAGTTTTTCGTTATTATATTAAAAAAGCACGTTTATAATTTCATTAAAAAGAATTACAAATTTTGATCATGTCTGCTCCACATAAAAATCGATACTCAAAATTGGAAATTCGTGCTGGTACGACAAATACAATAAAAGTAAGTATTGGTGGAATGAATGAAATAAAATACCCAACTAGATACAACCATGACTCTTGAGCTGATTTCATGCAACTTGATACGAAAAAAATGACCAAACGTGGAAATGCCAAAATGACAAAAACAAACGGAGATATAAGAAGATGTTGATATTTTTTAAATTGAACAACTAAATGTTTTTATAAGATTGTTGTATTCGAATAGATACTCGTTGTCGAGTAGTTGTGATAATGATGACAATAGTCGAAATAAGATTAATGACAAAAGGAATGAAAAAATGCAGAGCTTGAATTGTTTGATTGTAGACTTAAACACTATGTTGATAAGTAACAATACACCAAATTCTCTTTTCATCACCATCATCATCCTACATTAGTTGTCGATAAATGGGATTATGCATAGTTGTAGCAATTGATATAAGAATTATCACTAGCTAAATATTGACTTGTTTTTCTTATTAAAATTGACACTTCGAATCGTGGCGATGGCTCTTTCAACAATCACAAAGGCATCTAACCATTGATCCATACAAAGTGAGATTCGTAAAAGAAAATCGATTGAAATACATTGAACATGCAAAAATAATCGATTCAAAATTAATCCTATCTGTGCACCAATAAGAGTCTAGAATTTCAACATAAATAAAATCATTGTCAAAAGTGTAGTAATCAATGAACCTAATAAGTAGAAACCACATCCAACTTCCCAGAGTTTCTTGAGGATATGGGTGTGTAGAAGTTACTACGATAACCCTAGGAGATATTTCGATGTTACTAACTCAATCTGATCAAGTGGCCTTAGTATCAGTATAAGAGATCCAAAAAGACAAGCAATTCGGATCAATACATGACACTTAAATAAAAGATAATAAATCTGATAAATATGATTATATAATTTTAGAAATTACAGTTTAATTATTTATTATAATGAATTTAAGAATGGAATACTTAAAAAAGGTTATGAAAAAGTGCGATTATCAGATGAATAGAAATATAATAGTAAGATTGATGATGAAACATTCAATAGTCTTGGAAGTATTCTTAAACTTATAGCTGAGTGTATAGGTCAAAGATAAAATCAGTATCAATGTGAAGTGATTTTTATTGATTTATTCGAAAAATATTTTTCAAATCTTAATTTTACTAAAAGAAAGAGTTACTAAACTTATTTTGCATCGAAAATTAATATCAACAATTGATCCTTTATTTAAATAAGATCATCATTATACAAATTCCAATAAACACGATCTGAACATAAAAATAACTGATTGCATTTCATCGAAAATTATTTTTGATCATAGTTAAAACAATACTTTATTTCAATTCACTTATAACTGACTTAATTAGAAAATTAGAAGAATAGCACAACTTAATGGAGAACATATTTTTGTATGAAAAATTAAATGATAATCAAATAGAGTTCTAGGCAAAATTGATCTTAATGGTATTATTGCATCATTCATGTAAAGAAGAATTCAAACAACGATATTAAAAACTTTACATGACATTAAAATCAATAACTTAAAAGAAGATATGACTTGAGTTTTTATGATAAGAAAAAATGATATAAAAATATGTGAAGAAATCAATTTCGTTTATGAACAACAGATAATCCATAAAAGAAAAGTTTCAACTTAAATTAAATGAAGATATTTTATTAGGTGAAAAAATTATTATAAATAATATTGAGTTTAGAAAATAGTTTAACTATTGGAGTAATTGTATTCGTTAAGATACTTTGACTAAAGAGATAAGAAATGAATTTTTTTGAGTTAAAATTTTGCAAGATTCTAAAAATGATTACGAACGAAAAGTCTATTTCATTACACTATGAATATAAATATTGGTGCTGATTATTTAAACCGATTTTCTACTTATTTACAAATTTTGAATTCAAGTTAGAATTGATTCAAGGAAAACAAAGTACTACAAAAGTTATTAATTATTTTCTTGATTTTGGTATAGGATTTTCTAAGTTATTAAAAATTTTTCAAAAATATCATTCGTCTAGCATGCATTCGAAATTTCATGAAAATTACAAATTGCTTTGCGAAGAGGATTTTTTGAAGAAAATATTGGGTGTGGGTATCAGTATGGGTATGAAAAGGAATAACTGAATCATATTAACAATTACACCCACATTGTTGGATGGCAGAACCAGAGACAGAATGCAGAAGTGCAAGTCATACAGATTTAGCAAACTACTGTGTTCAACTTTATAGACAGGCGGAACGCAGTGTTTAAAAGTTTTGCATTTAAAAATGTATATTTGCCATAAAACCATCGTCATTATTGACTCTTCTATCCTTATGATAGATAGAACTCCTGAAATACTTGTGTCAAATTGTATTTGAAATCATATTAATATCGGCATATATAATGAAAAATCCCGCCATCCCGTATACGGAACACTCGGCACGAATGAGTTAAAAAGCGA